AAGCAGAAGCGAGCAAAGTCCACAAACATTTATGCCATGATAAATACGCAACTTCTTTAGGAAGCCACAAGACACTGTTGGTTTTGGTGCAACAGACTACATGCTAGTCTCTGTGTTTCTGTCAGGTGATTTCCTACGAGCCCTCCACCTCCTGGAAGTGTATCCAAGGCAGGATAAGTCATCTGTTTATCTACTGAAGCAGTGATCCCCAACCTTTTCCCAACTGTTTCATCTGTTTATCTACTGAAGCAGTGGGCCCCGACCTTTTCCCAACCGTGGACATGTTGGGTGTGTGTGGTGCGCCCACAGGGGGGCGGAGCTCTCTCTCGCACATGTGCACATTGTGCTCATGCGACCCACTGGTGCATATGCGCACAGGTGCGCTCGCAAGGGCGGAACACACTCACATGCATGCACGTGCATGCGCACAGCACGAGCACAGGGGGCGGAATGCACTTGTGCTCATGTGCATGATGGTGCTCACGAGGGGTGCTTGCAGGGGGGGTAGGAGATCTTTGTCCATGGCCTGGTCCTGGATAGGCCGCAGACCGGGGATTGGGGACATTTGTACTGAAGAACTGGCTCAGTCTAAGAGGCTGTCCACACTAAGAATTTCTTCAACTTTCCTTACATTCATTATACTGTGTTTCCCCGAAAATAAGACAAGGTCTTGTATTACTTTTTGCTCCAAAAACACATTAGGGCTTATTTTCAGGTGATGTTTTAATTTTTTTTTCATGTACAACAATCTACATTTATTCAAATACAGTCACATCTTCTTCTTCTGGTTGCTGCACAATGGTGGAGGGCGGGGTTTCCCTTCACTGGGGCTTATTTTTGGGGTAGGGCTTATATTACGAGCATCCTGAAAAATCATACTAGGGGTTATTTTCAGGGAAACAGGGCATCTATACTGCATATTGGTGTCCACGAAGTGCAAGGCTAAAACTAGTGTCAACAGAGTCAAAGTGGGACAAAAAAGAAAAAAAAAAGAACCCTTGCTTTCTAGACTTTTTACACCACTGTTGCTTCCTCACCCCTGATTTGCTCTGATTTATTCCTATGTAGGATCTACTCATGTGGAACTATTACTGTTGTTGGTGTATGTTGATCCATGCACTTTGCAGGAGGGTGTCTTTATGGAGATTTGTCTGCTGGTCAATCTCCAACACACACAGTGTTCCAAGGAGGAAAGGAAGGAGAGGGAAGTAGGCATGGGTTGAGAAGACAATTGGTTGGAAAAATGCAATTGTGCATGCTTCTCCTTTAATGCTACCTGTTTCTGAGGTGCACGTTTTGTATCCATTTGTGTAAAAACGTTGAGGATTTTATTATATGTCTCAAAGTCTTGGAGACCTTCAATTCATCCCTGATGCTTCTTTTGCTATTCACCTTTCCTCTCTACTCCAGTTTCTGTTCTCTGAAGAGAGACATGTGGAGCTCTAGTCCTCTCTCTCTCTCTCTCTCTCTCTCTCTCTCTCTCTCTGAACAAAGCCATGAACTGTAAGTAAATGTTCTGTTTCCTTAACCAAGAGGCATCCTGATTGATCTCTTTTTTTCATTTTTAAAGGAGTGACACTGGGCAGAACTCTCCATTCTTTTCTCTGCACAAAAAGGGGAATAACCAAATTGCAAATCCCTCCGGTGCAATATGTATTGAGACTGAGACCTCAGAAAATAATTCCAGAATAGCCCCAGAATGACTGGAAACCACACCACTGTGTGCATGAGTCCCAGGAAACCAGTTTGTTCTCCCTCAGAGCTATGCTTTCCTTCTCTGACAGAACTTGGAAAAGTTATTGTGAGAGATTCTAACTCCCCAAATCCAGCTACATCCCAGTGACCATGTCGGCTGGGATATTCTGGGGCATTAATCCAAAATGCAGAGTTTTGATGTAGCAAATTAATGTGTTTTCTACACAGTTACTCCAGTTGTGTAATGACTAGCATTCTCTATTTTTTTTTTTGATTGTTTGTTCTTAAGGCCTTCTAAGACATTTTAGAGGCACTCTGATTTCCACCCCCAAGTTTTATGTTATTTTCCTATCAATTGTAATGCCTAAAAAGAGAAGTAAGGGAAATAGAAATGAGTAACACAAGACATAATGCGACATATTTTTTCAGCATTCTAATGAATAATGATAATTGGTCACTTTTCAAACACTGTGGGTAATAAGAACGATTTACTTTCTTGCACAAATTTTCCAATCTGTCAAAATTTGCGAACAGTCAGTTTCCCAAGATCTCTTCCCCAATGACCTTATTATCCAGAAGAGTAGACGGGATAAGAATGGAACATGACCCTTGTGCCCCTTTAAAGACTGGTGCTCAGGGAAACAATACTTCTTCCTGTCCAGTGAGCAAATCCCTGGCTATGGGCTCCTCAGTGCAATACAACGATTAACCTCGACATTCTTGTTGGATCTCTAACTTCATGATTTGTTCGTTTATTGAGTATTATTTCCTTTGAAAGTTATGTAGATGGCAGAAGGGGGAGATGTGGACTGATGTGGCCTCTTCTATTTGTTGCCTAACATGCTTTTTAAAAAGCATCTACCTCTGAGCTTTGTCTCTGAGTCTGGGACAGTTTGTCAGTAAAGCCTTTCCCTTTGCTTTTTTCATAAAACAGTTAGTGCATTTATGAATATATTTGTTAAATATGGTCTTAAGGATATGGCATTTTGAATAGTAAAGGCAATGCTTACATATCCAAAATGGGCTGGCAAATTTATGTTTCGGGTACCTCTTTCTATTTTTCGTCACACTTTTTAACTCATAGTTTCCTTGAATGTGATGTTCTTTGAAGTGCACAGATTGTAAGCTCCTGCCTATGCAGGCTGTCTCCGTCTGGCAAGCCATTCACGTTGCACGGTGCCACCCTTAGGGGTTGCACAGAAGGAGGCAATTTTGTTCAATTTCTGAGTGTGGTGTGGACAAAAAATGTAAAGCTCCAGCACTGTGGGCTGCCCATACATTGAAGACAATCATATAATAAGGATGAGATTAGATGATATATTTAGCATATTTTTAGAAGTTGCTTAATGAGCTCAAGTGATATTCAAGGGGAAGGACATCATTGATTTGTTACAGCATGTAATTTCTCTCACCTAACTACCTTACACAGAGCATGCATTGCTTTGTGATTCATCACTGGAAGGTAAACATGGATGTACTTTCCAAAGCTGATTGCTCAGCATATATCTCTAAGGTCATTCCATTATGGCAGGGGATATACTCCTCTAGGCAGGAGAAAAGCTAAGTAAACAAGATGGGTACCATAGGGATATGAACAACAGAGTCCTGTGTCTTGCTAAAGGCTGACAAATTTATTATGACATATGTTTTCATGAACTATACCCTACATAATCAGATTACATGTTATTTTTTGCATCTTTGCTTTTGAGGAAATAGAGATATGAGGAAATGCACTTACTCCATCTGCCTGTTATTCACATATTCCTGCAATCAATCAGTGGGTTTCAACATGATAAACAAATTGTAAAGCTAGTTCTAGAGGAATTGCTATGCTAATCTGTTAAGCAAACACAAAGGACAATAAGCTGAGAATGAGCTGCAGTTACGTAGCAAGAAATACTAAGAACAACAACAAAACATTCTTCAGTTACATGCATAGCAAAAGACAGAGAAAAGAAACAGCGGCTCAGCTACTCAATGGGGATGGGAAAATGATAACAGACAACCAAGTCAGAAACACTCAATTCTTACTTTAGCTTAGTCTCCCCCCCCAAAAAAAAAACACACACCAGTCTATCACCCTCCAAGCAACAGTGAAGTATAAATTAAGGGGGCAGGCTTGCAGCTTGAGACTGATAAACAAACTGGCAAGGAATGCCTTATTAATGTATTCTCAAAGTCTTTCATGGCTGGGATCCAATAGCTGTCATAGGTTTTTCAGGCTGTCTGGCCATGTTCTTGAAGTTTTTCTTCCTAACGTTTCACCAGTCTCTGTGGCCGGCATCTTCAGAGGACAGGAGTCAGAACTCTGTGCTCTGGTGCAGTTTGTGGGATAGTTGAGTATTGATCAGCTGTGGGAACTATTTTCTGCTCCAGTATCTATTTATCACAAGGCAAATAGTAATGGTTATAAAGCCACACACACACACACGCACACACGCACAGACAGAGAGAACATCTGGATGTTTTCTAATTACAGCTGTATTGTAAGTACTATGATCACCTGAAATCTTAAAGTTCACCACAGTATCTGTTAGAGGTTGGGGTTGTTATATATCATTGATTAATTCCCAGTTAATAGTTCCTTAACAGAGTTTTATCATTGCTACCTTCCAGTGGCTTTCCAAGGTCAAGTGGAGATTTGAACCCATGTCTTCTGATTCTTAGTCAAATATTCTACCCACTACACTGACTTGTTACAAGAAATTCTATGAATAAAAAGAGGAGGTAATACCCCAGTGGAGATGACATGATTCATACTGCAAGGTTCTCAATGGCTTATACAAATATTTATTCTAACAAGCGTGCTGTGTTTCCACCTGGCCTGTTCTGGTATCCACAAGGAAACTATACAGCAGGGACACAATGCCTCCTTAAACTTGAGGCCAACATGGCTACTTTTTCCTACATGCTTTCTGGTCCCATCCAGAGCACACCACTGACAGCAGCCAAGCCCTAACATAACTGCACACAAGGATCAGCAGAATTGATACCAAGCATTTCTGAGATATGGAGAAGTTAAGAAATCTATTACAAAATCAAACAGACACCTTGAACCACCTGCTATAGAATCCAGCAGAATAAGTAACTGAGGTCATCTGTATTCATTAGAGTATTGGGTTGCAAACTGGGAATCCAGGATCAGCCACAAGGATCAATAGGAGAACTCGGGCCTGCTGCTCTCTCCACCTACGTAACCTACCTTAAAAGAGAATGCGAGAAATAAGCTCCGAGATGGAGAGGTAGGATATAAATGTAAATAAACTGAGAACCCTGAAACAAACATGTCAGTTTTGTCCCTCTAATTATGTGAGCGATATAATCAATGTCAGGAATCCTGTTAAAGATGCATTCATCTGCAGAGCATCTAATCTACCAGATACTTTGGCAAAACGGAGTTGTCTCTCTAGAAGTGACAAAACAGATAGGAAACATACATTTTAAACAGTAAGATTCAAACATCAGTGGAAAAATACTATGTACCCTCTTCTAACGTGGTAGGACTTGGAATCTTCCATATCTCAACATATAAATCAGGAACGGGACCCAGTGGCACACCCAGGTGCCAGCTAATCCCCATGTCTATTTCAAGACCTAAAAATAATTTCATCTACAACATCAAAGGTTCAGGCGTCTCCTCATCTTCTACTGTGACTGATACATGCCAGCATTTGCCAGCTATGCCCCTGGACAGACAAACCAGTCTCTGTACAAAAGGGAAAAAAAGGGATAGCCAAATGAAATAAGAAAGGACATTTTTTTAAACACCCACACACCCACACATACCCCAGTGGGGGAACACTTCAGTTGTCAAGAATCTTCTGTCTTGGATGTCACTGCAGCATTTCCAAATAAAAGAACTTCAAATTCAGATGCATGACATGAAACTGCTGAACGAGAATTATCGAACGTATCCAGCAAATCAAATCAAATGGCCCCTCCAAACAGCTCAATGAGGACTGAATATGTTCCATGACCCCAGAATGTTGTGTCCATTGGAAAGTAAACATGAGAAACGGGTGGGAAAGGATTGAAGGCCCTGCTTGATATAACCTTCAGCCACCTACCCCAAACTAGTAACCTTCCTGATGTTTTGGATTGCACCTTCCACCAGTATTGAACAGCTTAGTTAATTGTCAGCACTTAAGCAATTATGTATTTAAAATGCCTAAGAGCACCTCTGGTATGTGTGCGCGTGTGTATGTGTGTAAAAACTGGCCTATATTATCTTGGTTGGAAGATAGGACATGGTTGAAAGCCACCAAAAGACAGGCATTCCTGCTAGAAACTGAGGATTTGTGGGCTTTCAATTTGATTCAACTTATGTAATGTCCCCTTTTTAAGGGTCTTCTAAGTACTATAGCGAAGGGACGTGGTGGTGCTGTGGGCTAAACCGCAGAAGCCTGTGCTGCAGGGTCAGAAGACCAAGCAGTCGTAAGATCGAATCCACGCGACGGAGTGAGCGCCCGTCGCTTGTCCCAGCTCCCGCCAACCTAGCGGTTCGAAGGCATGCAAATGCGAGTAGATTAATAGGGACCACCTCGGTGGGAAGGTAACAGTGTTCCGTGTCTAAGTCGCACTGGCCATGTGACCACGGAAGATTGTCTTTGGACAAAACGCTGGCTCTATGGCTTGGAAATGGGGATGAGCACCGCCCCCTAGAGTCGAACACGACTGGACAAAAATTGTCAAGGGGAACCTTTACCTTTACCTTTAAGTACTATAGCACACCCATTTACTGTTCCCTTCTTCTGGGAGTACTCAGGGATTATGCACCTTGCCCAAGGCTACACAGGCTGGCTCTTTTCCTGGGAGGCACAGTGGGAACTCCCAGCCTCTAACTCCATAGCCAGATACCTAAACCAGGGAGCTATCCAGCCAGATGAAGTCAAGGATACACAGCAATATTTTGTTGTCGATTCTAGTCTGTTGATTAAGTAGTTTCTGCCAAAGCAACCCTCAAATCATAATGGCTTATGCTGCAATAAACTAGCTTGTCTTTAATGGGGCCTGTATTTCATGAAGTTTTTTCAGGGAAGAAAGATCCCATTTTAATGTACAAACTCTCCCTCAACTGCTCACCTGCATGGAGGGTACCTTTTAAAAAGAAAAATCTAGGACAGAATATGAGGAATTAGGATACAAACTGGAAATGCTACATACCACAGGTCTGCACAATTTATGCCCCTACAAAGCTAAAATTTTCCACTCTACTGACATATGGAAGCAAAAAAAGAGGAAAATCTGAGAAGCTACCAACAATAATAGAACTATTATCAGCATCATTATTTGTAGGCCATATTTGCATTCAAAACACAGATGCAGAATTTGCATAAAAATAAAATGATAAATACAAATGGAAAACACAAAACAAAACAAGGAAACAGAAGCTTACAGAAACAATACAAAATGGCAGGAAGCTCTAACGGGAAGCCTTTTGGTTCCCAACAAAATAAGTGCCATATTGGAATCTCTCCCAGGGCCCCTTATCCTATAATCAAGCGGCCACAAAGGGCAAATATGTTGCTCTTCCCCTCACGGGCAGTTACAGCTGGTAAAAAGAGATGCTCCCTCAGAGATCCTGTTTAGGACTATTGCTAAATGCCTGACAGGCTACCATGCTTAGCTGTTGGGCTACACTCGACCTGATCCATGATTACACAAATGCTGAAGGCCTAAGGCATGGATGACAGAGGTGAGAAAGCATAACTGATTAGTTCATTATAGTATTGTCCATCCCTGATCCAGTTAAATACCACAACTGCCCTTAGGAGAAACAGATACATCTCTGTATCTCAGACATTCTGATTACCCTTAACGAAGGCAGCCGTTTCTTCTGGCACCGATCCGACCAGCCCTATAAGCAGCCCCCCAGCTCCTCTGCCCGGCTCGAAGGCGACCAACAACGGAGCTGACAGGCCAAGAGGGCCACAAGCCCAATCCATGCCTGGCTGAATGCCTTTAAAGCCGCCGCCGCCGCCGCCATCCCCACCACCTTCAGACAGAACCAGATTTCTCGCGAAACAGATTCCCCCAGGTTCCCAGGATACAGCCTCATCGACTCTCAATAAACACAGGTCACCACATGTAACCTCCGCACCACAGACACATGAGACGATTTTAAGGTCCTCGTTTGGAAAACCAGTCGCGCTCCAGGCGGGAGGGAGAGGGTGGGGGGAGCGAGAGAGCAGCAAACCCAGCTCCGCTCCCTGGGGTCCCGGGTCCCCCGGGGTGAGAGGAAGGGAACCCCGTAATCCGGTTTGCACCCACCCACCCTCCACCGTGGCTGAAAGCCGGCTGGGGGCTGCTTGGAGGAGGGATAGCTCGTCATATCCTCCCGCAGCACCGGCCGCCCCTTCTCCGCGTCCAGCCTCGCCGCTTGCTTCCCTTGGGGGGGGGTACCAGCCGAGGCAGGCGAGCGAGAGTCGCCAGCCTGGCCCCAGCGCGCCTCGCCTCTGAACCTCAAGGACTTCCCCTCGTTCGTCTACAATCCCTCCCCAGGGAGGAGGCGGCGAGGGGGGGTCCCCCTCCGAGCTGGGCAGCCAATCGCAAGGCGGCGTTGGGTTTGCACCCGATCGACAAGAGCACCTCCACGCACTCGCGTCTTCAGAGCCGGGGTGGGCGATCGCGGTGGCCTCGGACGGAGGAGGCGGAGGAGGAGGCTGTCGCCGCGGGGCCATCGGGCGGGCTTGCCTGTCGCGCGTGTCAGTAGGGGACCGGGGCTCCAGACCAAGCGCTCGGGCAACGCTGGTCCCCTGGAGGGGGTCGTGGGTGGGTGGTTGGTTCTCGGGAAGCGCGTTTGCGGGCGACGGCGGCAGAGAGCCGGAGATTGCCTTCCACCGCCACCGCCGCCGCCACCCCCCTCCCTGCGCCCGTGAGTTGACTTCGGCTGCGCCCGGAGAAGGAACGCGATCATGCCGAAGAGAAAGGTAACGGGAGTTTTTTTTTCCGTCATGCTTTTTTAGGCAAGCTCAGCTCCGGATAACCGTAGGATTGGGGAGGGGAAAAATGAGAATAAAATGCGCCTTCTCTTCGTTCCCCCACCGATTGTGCAGCTGGAACGCCTCGGGGAAAGGCGCCGTTTGTGGAGGCCGCGGGTCGTTCCTGATTTCGCAGAGCTGTGGTTTGCCGCCTTATTTATTATTATTATTATTATTATTATTATTATTATTATTATTATTATTATTATTATTATTATTATTATTATTATTATTATTATTATTATTATTATTATTATTATTATTATTATTATTATTATTATTATTATTATTATTATTATTATTATTATTATTATTATTGCTTAACTGCCTGTTGCACAAAGGGACGAAGGGGTCGTCTGACCTCTCCCGATTGCCGTGTTTACTGTGGGTGTGGGCACGTCTATTGCATGCCTCCCTAATGTACTGACTCGCATGCCAGGAATTTGAGGAGGCAGGAAAACATCCCTTGTGTTTGGGATTCGCTGCATTGCTCCCGAGACGCTCCTGAGCAGCCTTCTTGTGTGTGTGTGTGTGTTTTTTTCTCCAAATGCAATGGCCG